TCAGTTCAATTTGTGAACCGGCTCAACCGGTGACTTCCTGAGAACCGGCTCAAAAGAACGATTCGTTCAAGAACTGAACATCACTAGTATGTGTCATTACTGCAGTTCTAGCCTTGTTTCCTGATGCCTTCCGTGTCTTGGTTCCTGGTCTTGTTACACTGCTCGTTTCTGGATTACCCTTTTGCCTGTGATTTTGCCCTGTTGCCTTTGTTTGGACAGATTGCCTGTGTTTTGACCTTTGCCTGTTTCTAGACTCTGGATTACACCTTTAATAAAATACTGCATCTGGATCCTCAGCCTTCGTGTCCTCGAGCAGTTCATGACACCGGGGTTGTGTACGTACGCGTGGGGCGTAGATATCCAAATAGGGGCGAAGTCCTGTCGGGGTACGGGCGTGTTTGTTTGGTGCTTTCAAATATCAACATCGTTTGGCAACATTCGCTTAGTGCACCTTTAAATACACGCATTTTACATGTTGTTGACGTGTTACAATTCACGTGTTTTCTGTGGTCTGACCGCGTGTGCTGTTGTCTTGTCAGGTTACAGCGCTCCTCAGGGGAACTACGACCCCGCGGTCCGCAGCCTGCACAACCTGGCGCACCTGTTCCTGAATGGGACGGGCGGACAGACGCACCTGTCGCCCAACGACCCCATATTCGTGCTGCTGCACACCTTCACCGACGCCGTGTTTGACGAGTGGCTGCGCAGACACGCTCCTGGTAAACCTGCCTCCCTCCGCTCAGTGTGTTTAATGTGTTTGTACATAAAGTATATTCTATTCTATTCTAATATATTCTAATCTATTCTATTCTATTCTGTTGTGTCTCTCCAGATGCTTCCATCTACCCGCTGGAAAACACGCCCATTGGACACAACCGAGAGTTCAACATGGTGCCCTTCTGGCCACCGGTGACCAATGCAGAGATGTTCGTGACGGCGGCCGAAAACCTGGGATACTCCTATGAAGCCGAGTGGCCCGGTCGGCGGCATTCTTCTTCTGCTTATTATATATATATATATATATATATATATATATAATATCATTATATATTATATAATATTATTAATATTACTTAAAGGGGTCAGCGGATGCCCATTTTCCACAAGTTGATATGATTCTTTAGGGTCTTAATGAAAAGTCTATAACATACTTTGGTTAAA